TCACCATCCACGTATCGCTGCGACCCCGATGAACAAGCCACCTCGTGATCTGGCCAGCTGCCTGAATGACCAACAAGCTGCAGAAGCCCTCCATCAGCTGAAACACAGGGCTCGAGTACCGCAAAGTATTATCCCAGCCCCCCAGGGTCAGGAACTCGAGAACACCATTCTCGCCGAACACCCATTCGTTCCATGTGGTGGACTTGGATGTCGCGAGGCCTTGAAGGGTCCTCTCGACCCAGTTACTGCTCCCAGCATCGACGGCAAAGCGCCCCAGTGCCCATATTAACAAGGCGGGAAGGACAATCCACTGTGAGAGCCGTAGTAGATGAGATATGGTCCAGCGGACTCTTGACGTGGCTGGCGTCGCCGCCGCAACAGTAGAGAGCACGAAGTAGAAGCCAAACAATGCTAGACTGTAGGCTAAGCCGCTGTCTCTGCCGCCAACATCGAAGGGCGACTGGTATGGAAAGAACGATGCTCAGCAGGAAGATGGAGCTGGAGATAAAGCGGAAGAACCACCACATCGGCGCGACAAGCTGGCTAGCTGGAGCCGCGCCGTTTGGGGGTAGAGTTGAAGTGACGAAGCGGCGATACAGTCGAGACCGTAAAAAAAAGCAGCAGGTGATAGAAGCCGCTGTGAGATCGGAGTTCTACTCGTCGGGTAAAGGCGATTTGCTTGTTTCAGTTCTTCCTCTTCTGCGTCGTCGGTCGGTCGGTGAGGTAGTAGTGGCGCGTGAGTTGGGTGCGCAGTACTCGTGTTGACGTGATCACACAAATCTGGAGTGGCCACGGTCAGGCTTGAACAGTAGCTATCTGCGTTTGTTGGCGACTCACGGTGTAACTTTGGTTCTTGGAACCTGGAGGAGGCTGGCAAGCCGGTGGTACCTAGCCTGGTAAATTGCAGCGAGTGGGCTACTTGATTTTTCGGCCCTGCACAATGCCATGGGACGATAAAGTTACCGTGGAGCTTCCTCCCTGCTTGACCTGAGGTACAATCTAATGCCTATCTTCACGTGAACCACTAAAGGCCCAAAGCAGCTGATTACCCACTCAATATTATTTAGCGTCATAAATACTTACCAAAAAGTATCATCATATTTATTTCTATACAAAATCAATCAGACTTTACTTATATAATATAAAATTATTTACTTAAATATCTTAAGTTTACTGTACTGTTTGCAGTGTTTGTATTAATTCAAATACTAAGATTGTAGTGTGGGTACCATTTTCTTATCATGTATAGATGTAGCGCGCTATCGACTATCGGCTGAACCCTTGATGACTTGCTGGCGGCCGAAAACTTCAGGGTTTTGATGGTTCATCGCGTGGGGTGAATGGTGGATGGCACAGAGCAGGAGGTCACCTGTCAACATGTCAGTCTCAGTTTTAGTGACCATTCTTAGCGACGAAAACGCAGCATTATCGTACTGGGTACACAACAGATTTCTATGACGATGAGAGCAGCCGTGGCGCTGCAATTCCTGGCAAGATGTCGGACATACACAGCAGCATAAGATATAGGACAGCAGTAAGTAGCACAGATCCTGCTCACGTGCACGTGGAAGCTGCGCAGATTTCTAGAATGCACATCCGTCCGAGGTTGGTCTTTGCTCAGTTCACCAACACCTTACCCCTGAAGCACGCTGAAATCAGTGCTACGTGCAGTGCGCATGCCTCATGATTGGATGCTGGCAGTGTCTAAATGGTGGCGATCCCCACTGATACCCGTGCCCCGCTACTACAGGAGATGAGCACTGACTTTGTGTTCTCGATGCCCTGAACTTTTGCCGCACTGGTGCGCGAGGCCTACAGTAGCCTCTGGAACCCCTATCCTGTCCCCCATTCCAACAACTCCGACCTCCATCAGTCGATTTGCGGTTTCCGACGCGTGATCCCCTCCGTTCTTGTCTCGCCTCCCCTTGCCCCTCGAAGGACGAGCAGCTCCTCGCTGAATTTTCTTTTCGTCATATATCAATGAAGGCCTAGGATCCCCCGGTTGTCCCTCTCTTTCATCTTCTGATTGACACCACACCTACACTCTCTTACAAAGTCAAAATGTCTGCTTCATCGACGGTCACCCAGCCCTCCAAGCGCAAGTCGGCCTCGTCTGCCACTGTCAAGGGTAGGCTCAGCACCGACGATATCAAGCTGCCTCCCGACTCGGAGCGCGATCCTCTAGAGGTCAAGCACCGCGACTTTTTCTGGACATACACCGAGGAGCCGCATCGCACACGGCGACTTGCCATTATCAAGGCCCACCCTGAGGTAAAGTTTGGAGAGAATACCTGACTTACGCAGCTCCAATTGACCAGTCTGTTTCTTTGTAGGTTACCAAGCTCTGCGGACCCGAACCTCTGACCAAGTACGTCGTCGCCGGCGTCGTGTCCCTCCAGATTTTCCTCGCATACACCCTCCGGAATACCTCCTTCTTTGACTGGAAGTTTTGGGCAGTTGGCTACATCTTCGGTGCCACCGCGAACCAGAACCTCTTCCTCGCCATCCACGAAATCTCCCATAACCTCGCCTTCCGCTCTCCATTGGCCAATCGTCTCATCGCCATCGTTGCGAACCTCCCTATCGGTGTCCCCTATTCGGCATCTTTCCGCCCCTACCACCTGACACACCACAAGTCCCTTGGGGTTGACGGCCTCGACACCGACCTGCCCACTGCGCTCGAAGGCATCTTCCTCGACAGCATCTTGGGCAAGGCGTTCTTCTGCACGTTTCAGATTTTTTTCTACGCCGTCCGGCCTATGGCTATCTTCCGCATCCCATTCACCTGGGTTCACTACCTCAACATCGCCGTCCAGCTCGCCTTCGACTATGCTGTCATCACGCTCGCCGGCCCCAATGCCTTGCTCTACTTTCTCCTCTCGTCTTTCCTCGCCGGCTCCCTGCACCCGCTTGCAGGCCACTTCATTGCCGAACACTACGTCTACGAGACCGTCACCCCCGAACAGCGCGACCCAAACAACGCCGTGCCCGTGCCCGAGACGTTCTCCTACTACGGACCCCTCAACTTCCTGACGTACAATGTCGGCCTACACAACGAGCACCATGACTTCCCCGCCGTGCCCTGGACCCGTCTGCCCAAGCTCAAGGCCATCGCCAATGAGTTCTACGACGATCTTCCCCGCCACGAGAGCTGGAGCTATGCCATCTGGCGGTTCATTTTCGATGAGAACGTCGGCATTAAGAGCCGTGTCAAGCGAAGAGGTAGGCCGCAGTCGGCCGAGGTGCTAAATGGAGCCAAGCCGAGATGAGCCATAGATGTTTTACGGAAATCGGCCAATGGACTTGCCAAAGAAGAGGAAGGCTCTGCCCATTGTGCTGGTACAACGCTTGGTAAACCATGTTTGCATTGGTAATGAAATTGTTATAGACATGAAAAGTATGATACCATTGGATTCCTGGTTCGCGCCAGTAATGTCGTGCTACAACCGTTGGGCCGCTATGCGGCAGGTTCCTGCAGTTCTCACGTTGCACGACGACGCACAAAATGTGCCGAATGCACAGTCGATAAAACTAAGGGAACAAAATGTACAGAGTGTGTGTATGAGCAGACACCTCGCGCCCAGCTCCAGGGGGGCCAACACCCCTTTCCCAGCCCGTCCCGAATATTCATCTCACATCACCAAACATGAGCCAATCGACGGTCGCAGCCCTTCATGGCGGTGACGCTGAAGACTGAAACACAGTATTTAGAACCCGTCCTAATTGCGCCCCCCGTGAGAGGCCGCCCACCATTCTTCATACTCCAGTACCGCTATGCGATTGGCGTCTTCTGTTGTTGTCCAGTGGGAAGCCAAAATACAGATCCTACCACGTGTGTCTCAGAAGAAGAAGTAGGCGAGCAGGAAGCTCAGAAGACAAAGCAGCGCGACGATTTGAACGGAGACACCGTCAACGTTCTGTCGCACAGCCGCGGCGGCTTCCTGCGTCGAGGGCAGCTTCTCAGTCCCCGCTTTGACGCGCTGCCGGAGGCCTCCTCCCTCCTGAAGGGCGATAATTTTGGCCTCTGCCTGCTGCAACTTCGCCTTGATCTCCTCGTACGTGAGCTGAACAGTGTGGGACACGGCGGCGGTGGCGGCAGAGACGGTGGACTGGTCGTGATCGGAGCCTGCGTCGTGCTGGGACTGTGCATCGGCGGCACCTCTGTAAGACGGAGGCGCAGGGCTGGTACCTGATCGGGCATCTTCTCCGGGAGAAGAGAAGGTACGCGACACATCAGGAGTGTCATTCTGTTGTGGCCTGTCAGCTCAATCTGGTCATTTCCTTACGAGGGGGGAAGTTGAGGTGGAGGGAACTAACCGTCGAACCATCAGCAACTGAGCGACGGCTGGGTGTCACAGCAGGGCCAGGAACGCTGGCGCCTTCCTCAGACGACGTGATCCAGTTCACACGGATCTTCCTCTCCTGGATAGAGGACTTATCGGAGGTCTCGAGCTGCAAATCACCTCATTAGGCATTGGTATGATACGTCGCACGCAAGTAAGATCTTCTTACGACGCTGGCAATGCTGGCAAATTCTTTGTCACCAGTAATAGGGGCAGGACTGCACCAAGAACTTGTCGCGACATTTGGTGCCAGGGGCAGGCTCCTGCTTCATGGCCTGCAATAGGACTTCTTCATGTCAGCGCTCATGTTGGCTGCTTTAGCACACTGCTCCATACCAGTTACTTCAACATCTTGGCCAGGTTCAACGCGGCCAGAGTTAGGGCGAACGCAGTACTGCTTCGGAGCGGTGGTTTTGACCTTTGTCGCATTAGCCACACCATCTTGCGACGCGGACTGATTATGATTATACCTTGAAGGCAATAGGAGTCTGGTTGGGGTTTTTAATTCGCAGGGTTCTGGAGATCTCGACGGTGAAGGGCTCTGTCTATAGTCAGTAGGCAGCACGTGGAAGGGGGAACACTGATTTGCAAGCAAACATACGCTGAAAGCTGAGCTCAAAGGGCTCAATCTCGACCGACATGATGGCGATAGGGGTTTATTTTGGTGCGCAAGTATTTATTCGGAGAAATCTCTCTTGATCTCAGCAGCTTGTGAGGGGGGTTGCGGACGAGGGTTGCAGCTGTACTGTCTCGTGAAAGTTGGCCGGGTTGTGTGGAAAGTCCGTAGCTCTCTCTGTCTTGTTGCATCACCAGCAACCTAAAGCTGGCAACAGCGCCCCGACGTAATGAGATGCTCTGGACCTGGCACTTGGTCCGAGCTCTTCCGTAGGGATCCACTCTCCTCTGTTTCTTCTTCTCCCTCCGTTCAGTCAGCTGGCACTGAGCCCACGGTCGTTCGACCCCTCACAACCAGCACGTGATTCCGTCATTTCCTACACCGTTCTGTAAAGACAACGAGCATTATTATATAATTTGGAGGCATACCATCACGGATCATGCTGGGCAGTACCAACTGCTGTGTATATATCACACCAATGGCGTGCAGCGGGGGCTGAGGGACCGCTTCATTAGGCAGGATGAGCAGATTGCAATGGAGGGCCTACTGCATTACAGCAACAATCCAGCATCATGTACTCGGACAATGATTCCAACATTCTGTTGCTGCCTTGAGTGGCCTCCAGGTGATGGGTGGGGCTGGCCTTGAATTTCTAATGAAGAAACCCCCTCCTTAAAGGCCCTGATATGGATGACGTAAGTGGGTTCATCGAAAGTGATGCCTCCTGGACAGAATGCTCTGGTTGGAGCAATCCGTTCGGTTTAACTATACGTTACCACCAACAACCATCGGAATCTTATACGTGTGATCCACCCCAAGAGCTTCCCTTCATCAACTATCCCCGCCAATCCACTACCTACAATACACCACTGCACACTCTGCCGCCAATATGGGACAGACCGATCTTGACCTCCTGCTCGACATGGGCTTTGAACGTGCACGCGCCGAGCTTGCAGTTAAGCAGTCTGGTGGATGTAAGATGGTCTAGCCTACCGTCTCGACCCAAGTACTGACCGAGCTACATCAGTGCAGGGTGCTCTTGAATGGCTGGAAAATAATCAAGATAAACCGCTCGAAGAGCTTGTGAATGCCTCAAACGCCAACGCCGCCGGCGACGACGACGCCGACGATGCCGACAAGGTGAAGGCCAACATCGAAGCACTCGAAAGCGGAACGGCCAAATCACTTGTCTGCAATGACTGCGGCAAGCTGTTTAAAAATCAAGATCTTGCTAGTTTTCATGCTTCCAAAACGTATGGCAGCCTCATTGGAGTAATAGTCTGTTATTGGGGGCACGCTGACAGGCTTGTACAGCGACCATACAGACTTTTCTGAGTCCACTGAAGAGATTGCGCCATTGACTGAGCAGGAAAAGAAGGAAAAGCTCGAAATGTTACGAGAGAAGCTTAAGGCAAAGCGAGCCAACCAGGCTGCTGTCGACAGAGAGGAAAACAAACGCAACGAGTCGATCCGCCAGAAATCTACGCAAGAGAGTCAGGATGCGAAGGAAGAGCTCCAGCGAAGAGAACAGATCAAAGAGGCTGCCCGCAAGCGCCAGGAGAAGCTCGACGATCTCGAAGCCAAGAAGCGCATTAAGGCGAAGATTGAGGCGGACAAGGAGGACCGCCGTCGTAAAGCTGAACAGGCCAAGGCGGCGAGAGAGGGCCATCCGGCGCCTGCACCAGGGCCTGTCACTGCTTCCTCTCTTCCCAAGGTCACCGCAAACCACTCAGAGGCCCGACTTCGTCTTCAGACTGCAAACGGCAATATCCTCAAGACATTTGCTGCAGAAACCACGCTCTTCGAAGTGGCGCAGCACTTGCAGTCGGAAAGCGGTATTGCCGTGACGAGCTTCTCGACCACCTTCCCCAGGAAAACCTTTGAGGGATCGACTGACTTCAGCAAGACACTAAAGGAAGCCGGTCTGGTGCCTAGCTCTGTTCTGATTGTCAAATGAGGCGCCACTCCGCGGACAACGGAACGGACATTTAAGGTTGACTCATGGGGTTGCATAGCTTTTGGCGTCGGGATGAAGAAGCCGCCGTTACAAGGTGACGGGAGGTGCTAGATCAGCACATACACACATACAATTGCAGTTCACGCTCTTCGTGAGATGTCCCAGCCTGATCACACACACAAACTCACGCACCGAGATATCACTGTTGGCATCACGTCTCTCCAATTCCCCAATTGTTCTGTCAGACTCATCGTGGAATTTTTTGAGGTTGTCCCTGTGAACTCCGTGTAGAGAGCGTTCTTCATGAGAAGCTACTCCGTCCAGGCAGCCGGATATCGTGCCTCCATCCAACCCCTTATGATCGTGCGATTCGCAGAAATTCCGGAGCCATGCAGTTGAAGTACAAAGGGAAGGAAGTTGTCGTCGTTGCGGGTTTAAATCGCTTAATCGAAAAGACCGAAGCCCATGTCGTCGTCCGACTCCTCCTTCTCTGTGCCATGTGTTAGTTCTCGATCGTCTGAGATTGTGGGGTCATGGTAATAAACCTACCCTCCTCCTTCGGCGCCTCAGCCTCGGCCTCAGCGGCACCGCCAGCAGCGGCACCACCAGCGGCGGGGGCGGCGGCGGCACCGCCACCGGAGCCGACGTTGGACAGAAGGTCCTTCACGTCCTTGCCCTCAAGAGCCTGTGATCCCCCATGTTAGTCCGAGAGTCCGTTGTCGTCGGTAGCTGTGATCGGTCGTACCTTGGCGAACAGGGAAGTCCAGATGGGCTCGACATCCTCGACCTTCGCGGCCTTGATGAGGGTCTGGAGCTTGTCGGCCTGGTGAACATTATTCCATTAGCAAATTGCCTGTGGTTCTGCAAGTCGCTACGTCTGCCCCGCGACATAGAGGAAGCAATCGGAACTCACAGTGATCTCAATGCCTTCATCGGCGAGGATGAGCGCCGCGTAGGACGAAGCAAGTTCGGCGTTCGACATTGTGATGGTGATCGGTAGGTTGAGACTGATCGGTAGGCTTGTCAGGCGCAATGCGGTTGTGATCTCGAAAGGAAGTCTTAAGATTACAAGCGCGAAGTCACCACACTGAATTTGCCCGTCCAAGATAATTAGCAGGGCTTTGAGACCTAAGCGAAAAGGCATTTATAAATGGGTCCTCTGATCCGTCAATCGATTCTGGTTGGCTGCCGGCTCCGGCCAATCATTTCTGGGTTATGGGGCATTGCCTCTTGGCCGATCGAGCAGACCCCCTGCTGATGTGCCGCCTTGGGGACTTGCGTCTACCCCACCTTGTCCACTTCCGTCGTGATGTTCCCCTCCCCCCACTATGACCTCCTGCACGGCCATCAGAGACCCTCTGACGTTCTGCTGGTTCCATCACATTTCAGCTTGTCGGTACTTTGAGATCTTACCATCAACCGCGAACATCGTCAAAGTGACATATCAACGTCAGGCGCATTCTCGTTAATATCGTTGCTAACATATCCTTACCTATTGATCCGACCGAATACATCCAACCCAGCGCTCCAGCCGCAGTGCAGCGTCCTCAGCCGAGGCGACCCGAGTCATCTGCGCCTGCACCCAGCTTCGAAGCTTTCCCTCCGCCGTCACCACAGATCCTTCGGAGATCACGAAAGACAGTACAACCCTTCTTGCAGGCTCGTACACATCAGGTAGCCGAGAACTTCCCTCCGCGAGAACAAAATGGACACTCCGACATTCCCGCCACCGAAGGATGCCGCGGAGCAGGAGGTCCTCGATAGTCTTGTGTCTATCCGCGACAAACTGCAACTTCTCAAGCAGGATCGCAAGACGTACATGCAAAAACAACATGTTATTCCTTTATACCAGGAAACCGTTGAGCAAGTCCGCCGACTCAATGAATCTCGTTCCGGCGACCAGAAGATTGAGGAGAACAGAGGTAGCTACCCACACTTTCGATGGCATATAGGAGTGATATGTCCTTGCAATCCATTCTGACCCTCTTGACAGTCGATAGAGTGCTGGATAGCTGTTTCCAGCTTCTCTCGCTCTGCTTCATGACGATTGGCCAGAACAACAGCGCACCGGCTGCTTATGCTCTTACCGCCACCATCAAGCGACTACTGGACCACTTGACAGAAGTCGACTTATTCAGCGCCAAGGATCTTGAATCTATTTCGGAGACACTCAACCAGTTGTCACGCAACATCAAGCACAGTTCCGAGTATTCCTCGCCGTACTTGATTACCCTTCTCATGAACCGACTCGATCTTTGCAAGAGGTCTTTGGCCAGCCTTCAGAAGCGCCTAGGCCGTCTGGAGGACCCATTGCCAAAGGTGCACGAGAAGCTCATCTCTATATTGCGCTCCATATCTCTAGCCAACACACGCACAAAGGTATTGGTACTGCTTGCCCTCTATTGCCTTGAATGTTACTTACAGGTCTGTTTCTCAGTTTTCGGCATCAGAAGTCAAAAGCTTGCGGGCGCAGCTGAAGGAGGTTGACGAGAAAGTCAAAGCCAATAAGTACTTGACAGTAGATGGCAGGCAACCGGCAGGCAGCGAGGATGTCGACTTCTTGTTGAGGAAGTGTTTGCTTTGGTCGGACATTGTTCTCGAAAGGTACGTTGGCATGACAATCAAATCCTTGCTCTAGACGCTGACTGGTTTTTTTCAACAGGCGGGGTGTGATATCTGAGCCGTTCAAAGCCACCTATGACATTCTAGTACGCATCAGGAACGACCTTGAAACCCTGTCTATCACTAGCAAGTGGTCCCTTCGCGAGGCAGACCTGTACGACTTTCAGCGCCAGCTGGACAAAATCGATGAAAGCCGAGTAAACGGAAACTGGAAGGATGAAGACGGCAAAGAAGCAGAGCTTTATATTCAGAGGGTAAGTCCCGCTGCGTCGTATACATGATGACGCCTAACTCTAGTGCCAGACCTTGTTGTACCTTGTCCGCAGAAGTTACGGTTACATCTACTTCCTGATGATTTCGTCGAACCCAGTGTCCGAAGCTTTGCAACCTACCTTCAATCAGCTTCAAACGTTGAAGAAATGCTTGATCGAGGTCAGGAACAATGGTGGAGTATCAACTGTGAGGGAGCTGTACCCCTATAGCCTTAAGGTATGCCTTGGATGATGCTGTTTGCACAGCCCTCGCTTACATGGTTGCAAAGCTCAACTCGATTGACAACTTGCGAGTCGACGGCAAGTTCATGTTCAACGGCGATATTCCTGAAGGCCAAGGAAGCGTAAACGAACTCTTGGCCGAATGCTTCGAGATTAACTACGAGCTACGAGTTGCAGCCGAGGCAGCAGCCGAGGCGGCGGACGTGGACGATGACGAGGAAGAGACGGCAGTGTCTGGGGATGTGGATGCCGAGGCCTCAACCGAGGCTCTCGCTAAGGCTCTCGAGGACTCGAAGCTTGAAAACAAGTCCGAAGGTCAGGTCACAGCTTAAGTGAGTGTGTGCTCAAGGCTCCGCCTGACTTCCAGCTTCCCTTCGCGCTTTGTGCGACAAATGCTTGACTCAAGGCATGTGAAATCGGTATTTGGAGTTTCCGGTCAAGATATGCGGCAGACTTATTACTTCGGTGGTCACCCCGGTGTTTTCGCGGTCATTCTACCGCACTCTTTCGAGTCTACGGTTGTACTATTTAATTGTTACAGGCGGAGGCTTCAGGTTGAAGAGGGGAGAATCCAGGAATCGGCGAATTGAGGGCGTTGTGTCGGTCACGGCATAATGATGTGTTGAGCGCACACGAGTAGTGTCTATTAAGGTCATGGGTCGCTCAAATTATACAACAGTCTCCCTACTGTTCTACGGGATGTCTAAAGGCGCATTTGAACTGTGAATATGTCAGTCGGTTGGGCTCTTCAGTTGTGGCAACGGAAGGATAGCGGCGGAACATACTGGCCACAGTTGGACCTGACAAACATGTTAGTAAAGCAGTATTGGCAGCGATGCGGGACTAGATTTACCTTTTCAAGATCCCAGACTCCAGCCTCAGCATAAACATCCTTCTCCAGCCAACCCATAATCTCCTCCTTGGATTCTGCGAGACAAACCAGAGTACTGCCGTTGAATTTCAAGCTCGAAGGCTCATCATCCGCAGGGACATCGTCCAAGAGAGCGCCCCCCATCTTAAAAATACCGGCATCAAGCTTGTCCTGGAGGTTTTTGAAGTGCGTACTAAAATAGCGTAAGAAGGAGGGACAATACGGGATATGGACTTTGCCTTTGTGAGTATACACTGCGGGCTCGAGTGTGACATACGGGCGGACCTCGAGGCGCTTGGCGAGGGTATTGGGCTTGTCAGGAACGACAACAAGCCACTCATACTTACGAGGTGCGGCGGAGGATGTCATACTGTGTTGGAACCGGGTGATGGTGGATAAGTTGGGCTGGGCAGGACGAAAACGAGGGATAAGTCGAGAAGCCATGACGATGAGATGCAAACGACGTGGACGCTGTTCTTTATATGTCAATAGTGCATGGGAATGCCACCAAGGCACTGTGAGTACGATTCCGGGAGGGACCTCTACGCAGCAAGGTCACTGTAACCGGGCTTGGTTGGTTGGTAATGTTGGATGTATTGGGTGACTGAGGGAGGGGGAGCGTACGCCCTTCAGCGCGCATCTGCGCCCTTTAGCGTGGCTTACATGTCTTGGGTGCTCGCTGACGAGCATCGATGACCCCACTCTCAAGGCAAGCTGTAAAAATCCCAGTGGGCAAATAAGTAGGATTCATGGATGTTCAAATGCTAGAAATTTAAACATATAAGAGGTTTCTGTCGTCTTCGGGGTGCTATTATCTCAAGGGCATTTCTTGTTCTAGTTGGATTGGTGATCGTGATGAGGCCGACTAGTACGTTAGCTACTTAACTGAGCTCACTGAAAGCGAAAGTTGGGAAAAGGGAACTCTGACCCGATTTTGCCCCGCCTTCACATTCTCTTGTGCAGCCCAACTCACTCATTCATCACATCGTTGGTCGCTTTTTGATACAAGATCGCAACGCCGGGCTTGGGGCAGTAATACTTGAAGGCTGCTCTGACCTCAGATATACACGTGTCGGACACGCCAGTCTGGTCCAACCACTCTTCAAAATGTCCCGCGCACGCGACAACAGACCCCTTCGACGACGTCATGAATCTTGAAGAAAGGTTCTATGATGAAGGCTACACCCAAGGCACAAAAGATGGCGACAGGGCCGGTAAAATCGAGGGCCGCTCCGTCGGACTGGCAAACGGCTATGATAAGTTTTTGGAGAGTGGGCGTCTTTATGGCAAGTCACTGGTGTGGGCAAATCGACTACAAGTTCGAACACCATCATCCGCCGAGGTAGAAGGCGCGGTGGCGGCAAGCACACCAGCAGGTCCCGCATCGACGACGGTCAAAAATTCAACAGGAGCCCAGAATAAGTGTCTCCTACCGCCGCTTCCGAGCACAAATTCTAGGCTTGAGAAGAACATCATTGTGGCACATGCGCTTGTTGAACCGGACACTCTGTCAACTGAAAACAACGACGACGCCGTCAATGATTTCGATGACCGGGTGAAGAAGGCGCAGGGCAAGGTCAAGGTCATTGAGCGGATGCTTGGCGAAAGTGAAACTGCTGTCCATGGGAAGGCAGGAGGAGCCGCTTGAAGTTTAATCAGACGAGGTCGAAGTCGGGGTGGACCAGGTGTTCATAGGGCTTTCAATGGCTTTCGACTGAAGTCGCCAGAATTGCTAGAGAACAACCTGGGCCCGGACAGTCAGTCGCCTCACGAGGCGCAACCAACAGGGGCGAGCCTACTGATGTCGCGCCTTGGGGACAAGACACGGACCAAGAAAATAGAAACCACCCAGGGATAAGGCTCCAAAAGCGACTTCTTGAATGAAATCTATTGTATTCTCCATGTACACTGTTCAACGTTCCCATGCGCCATAACTACACCCTTTGACTCAGACGAATGACCGGCAAGAGTACCTTGAGTCAAAATCAGCAAAGGAATTAAACAGTGGAGGAAAATGATGCACTCACTCGGCGGGGTATGAACCCTCAGTCTTGGGCTCGTACTTGTGTACATTCCAGGTTCCATCCGCTGCCTGCGCTGTTCCCGCTGGCGTCGGAGGAAGGCCGCCGATGAAGACATCCTGCTTCACCTCTCCGGGGCTCTTCTTTTGCAGAAAAACGGCGAGGCCGCCCTTCTCGCCCTCGGCCTGGGCCTTGACGAGGGCCTTCGCACCAGCCTCGCCGATGAGGTCAACCTTCGGCGATGCGGCGGAGCCGACGGTCAGCAGGCTCACGACATCGGGCTGGCCAAAGACGCTCGTCTGAGGGTAAGCGCGTCGAGAATCACGCTTGAAATAGGCATTGTCGGCAATGTCACCGGCGGGAATGGTGACAGGGTCGTTGTAGGAGAGGGGGTCGTAGGCGCCAGGGGCCGGGTTGCGGAAGACAGGGTTGAGGGGAACACCGGACGAGCGGTTAGGGTCGATGGCGAAGGCGCGACGAATGCGTTCGGAGAGGCCGGTCGATTGAAGTGTGTGTTTCTGCAACGAAATCAGCACGTTGGCTAGCGACACGTTGAATTGGGTAGCCGAGAATAGAAGCAGGCCGGAGCGATTGAGGGCCATGTCATCGCCGTCGTCGTATAGAAGAGGGCGACCGCCGAGGGCGGGAAATGTGTGGTTCTGCGGCGCAATTGATCGTTATTCTTACCTTGGAGATCTCCACGACACCACCAGCAGCTTTGGCAACTGCCTTCGATGCCATTTTGACGACTTGTGGGGGAGAGATTGGGGTCGCGAACTTCGTGATCAAATTCAACAAGATGGATGGTTCGAGTTGCTCGTCAGTCGTTGCCAGCGTCGGGCGGGTCATGTCAATTAGAGAACTCCGATTGGCTGGTGGCCATAGCCTTACATAAGCGACCTGAGGGCATCAAGAGGATGAAAGCATCCATCACCATATTTCAAGTTCACGTAGATACTCATTACGTTTACTTACGTCGACTCTCGATGCTGTGCCGATGCGCACCATCTGCCTGCTATACATGCTCACGAGGTGATCCCAGTTCAGGGGATGCGCCAATAGTCCTGGCCTTCGACCGTCACAGGCTCATAAATCCCAGTGAAAAGAGCTGATGGCGCGATCCCGATGTGATGAGCGCAGATACTCGCCGGGGTCCGGAATTCCGAGTCTCTTTAGGCAATTTTCGTGTGAGTGTTATATTGACGGATTCTCCTATCACCAGTCATTCATCGAACTCGCACCCCCACAGCTCCTCACTCCTTCGCCCCCTCCGCCTCACCCTTTGACAGTTCCTCGACAAGTTTCTTAACCACTTCAACCGTGGCGGCAGGGCCGCCGGGCTCAGCAGCTAGGATCTTGCCCTCCTTGTTGACGACAAAAACACCGCGCTGGGTTCCGGAAGGAGCCTTCTTCAGGCCAATTGCACCGATCAGCGTCCTCTGCGGGTCACACAGGAGAGGGTAAGGCAGCTCCTTCTTCTCCTTGAAGGTAGTGTTTGCCTTTGTCGAATCGGCCGAAAGGCCGTAAATGGCGAGTCCAGTAGCCGTCAGCGGCTCGTACGAGTCGCGGAACAGACACACCTGGGTTGTGCCTATTGGCGCGCAAGGGCCAATATGTCAGCGAGCATACTCTACGGTGGTTCGTGCGGAGGAGTAGGTCCTTACATCCGGGCGTCGACGCCTTGGGGTAAGTGAAAAGGACGACGCCAGCCTTGCTCTCGTCCACGAGAGCCTTGAGTGTCGTCTTCTTGCCGTCGTTGGTCTCGATCTCGCCACCGAACCCCGTCGAGTGTGATGACCTCGCCTTCGGCCCACCTTGGCGGGCTTGGCGGCAACGGCAGCAGCAGCAACGGGTACCTCCTTGGCTTCTCTTCGGGAGCATCGGTTTCCTCGGCCTTGGCGCCGGCTTTACGGCCTTCTTGGCTGCTGGCGCCTTCTTCTTTGCAGCGGCGGGGGCGGGGTCGGACTCAGGGAACATGGCCTTACGAGTTCGACAAGCAATGATGTCTGTGGGTGGAGAGCGGGTATGGATTCTGAGGTCAAGCAACAAGTGAGTTAGATGTTGTGATACTGGGCCCACGAGTGTGCAAATTCTTCACGTTTCTGCTGAATCCTGAGCGTCAAGTACGAGGTCCCGTGAGTGTTAGGATGGACAATGCAAAACGGACAGCAAAGTTTGGGAGTGAGGTCTGGCCAGGAGAATGTCGAGCTCAACAGTAGACGTCGTCCTGGCGACAGACCAATCAGTGGTAGCGCACCCCCCTCCCAGGGAGCTCTCCAGGCCCTTTTGAGACCACAGTAGCATGCGCATTGCGGGCTGCGATCACGCACTCCTTAATCCTGGACAAGCTTTCGTGTTGGTGGCCTGTGCTCGCACTCCCCAGAGATGCTCAACTGTCAGCAAAGGTACCTAGGTATATAGGTAATTTCGGTGATGTGTTGTGGCACTATGCATATATCGAGTCTTGTTTTCACAAATTGGCGAATCTGGGTCGCCGTACATATGTAAACCCCCGCCGTACCTCCTCCATACTCGGCACGCATTATTGTCGATATAATCAGTCCACTTCGTAGACGACATTATCCTGCTGTCACAATGAAAACGAAATGGCCCCGAGAGGCAATTTGAACCCGAGGGTATGTCCGATTCACTTGAATATTGATTATGATCAGAAATTAACAACTCGCAAAGACGGGTGGTCGCACCTCTTGGCAGCCTTCACGATGGCCTGTCTCCTCTTCACATACACGCGGTCGTCCATCCGTACCGCTAGGGGAGCAAGCTGTGAGTCTGGTCGGCGCATGTGCTTCAAGAAATAAGGCTCATTCAACTAACCATGCAGCATGCGACTCGAGAAAAGGAAGTCAGGTGCCTTCACAAGAACCTCGCAGCTTGATATGCTGGGCGTCGCATAGGGTGGACAAGCTCTTACCAATCCTACACCGCAGCAGCCTACATGTTAACAAAATCACCATCAGGTAGAGGTCACAGTGCCTCCTCGGCTGTTGGTGTCCATTTCCGAGGTGCGCCGACTGAGAGAAGGATGGTCTGCGAGGTCATCCGAGTGTGCATTGTGAAGGGGCACATGTAACCAGTAGTAATATGAATTGGATCGGATTTGTCTATACCTACAACCAAAGATAGGGGTATATGTGGAAACCTCCATTCCGTGTTCCGATCTTCTCCCCACAATGAGCCCTAAATACACAGCGAGAGCGATGATACTCCATGTGAACTCGGAACGCCCGGTCAAGAATGCACCTCCCTCCACACCACTCGCTCGTGGTTCACACCGCACCATACACTGCCCAGCCATCATTACAGGCTTGCGTCAAGCGACACATCCTCGTGGCCCAGCTTCCTCCGCCCTTCCGCCTTGATGTGATTAAACTGTTCCATAAAGAACTCATATGTCAACATCGTGACCGTTGCTGCCGGTACCGCGCGCATCATGTTCGTCCCCATGCCAGCATAAAAAGCTCTCCAGCCTTCCTCGGCGAGGATTGTGCGGAAGGTCATAACGACACCACGGTACTTTGGCGCAGGGGGCTGCACTTGTTTCTGATGCGCGGCCACCTCCTCCGGCGTCGCCGAGCTGGAGATTTTGATGCCGAGGCCTTGAAGATATTCTGCTCCCGCGACTGGTCGCCGCTGTGTCTGCAGTCGCGTTCGGACAACTTCGTGAGGATAGGTGGCGCTGCTTGCCAGGATCTTGGAGAGAATCGAAGCCGAGAGGACACCGATCCAGTGCGACGAGGGACTCTCTCCATTCAGGGGGGCACCCATTCCTTGTCCCGTGAACTGAGTTTTCAGGAACTCATAAGCGGGAAACTGGACTGCAACGTGGGTGAGACCAAGCAAGGCGGGCGTGAGGCCCGAGTAGAAGGATAGAATGCCTTCTGATGTATACATCTTGCGAGCGGCGTCGAGTGTGGAGTTGTAATGCCACGGCGTAGAGAGCGTCGGCCTGGACGTCGGCGTGTTCCCCGACTTTGGGAACTGCGTATAGTGCTGACCTGTACGGTGCGCAACACTTTGCGACATCAGCCGCGTCTTGATGACCCATATGGGTTCGTCACATCGTGCTGCTAGCCCCAGCTATGATAGAAGACCAAAAACTGATCACAAACGGGTTTTCTACAACAGAAATGCGTCAGCAAGGGCCCGACTCTTAGGACATTGAAGGTCTGGAACCATTCGATCCAAGGGTAACCTACCATGACGATGCCTTAGCCAGTCTTTGCTGTTGTTGTAGACGGTAAACCAGACTGCCCATGTCGGCAGGTACCCAAGCACGATAGGACCCAGCCCCCTGTACATGCCCCTGATACCCTCGTCGCGCCAGATGACTCGGGCGGTTCCGGTAAGCCCGTCATAGAGCTTGGGGTGTCCTACATGTCTGCCCTTAGAGACTGGATTGAAACCACCCTGCGCCTGAAGCTTAGTCTTGATGACGTCGAGCGGGCATGTGACGACGCCCGAGGTAAAACCACCAATGGCACCGGCCAGAGCGTTGAATTGAGAAGGAGAAGCGTTGACAGCCCATTTTTCGAGCGGAGAAAGGGCAACGCCCGAGGAGGTCATACCGGCGGATGGCTCCTCCGAGCCGCCGTCCTCGTCTCGCTGTGACGTGGGTACCGGAATAGACCGGACGCTACTATAGTGAGGGTAGGTAGAGGTGGGATATGGACCATATTCGTCGTCTTCCGAAGGTTGAGAAGTTCCTCGTGGAGGGTTTTGGTTGTTCTCGGGAGACATTACAGAACTGCTCGTTTTTGGCTTTGCTTCGGCAGCTTTTGTGGTTCGATGATGGAAGGGCGAGCGAGCCAAGGGAATCACGATCCTTGTTCAAACGGCGGCTAGTTTATGGTACCGACTCGAAGTGTTCTTATCTGCGTCGGCGTCTTTGGCGATTTGTACTCGTTCTTAGTGTCGCGGTATGCGGGGAATGGCTCCCACGCTGCCGTGACACTACCCGACCTTCAGGTTTCGCAGGCCATCTACCACTTTGGAAAAAAAAATCGGGATTCTAATTGGGAGCAGCGATTTGATGTTGCCCGCCTGCAAGGTGAGAGTTGGCAGTGCACCAAGGTGGCAGAGGGGCAGAGGGTCGTCGTATCGGTGGTGGAGGTTGATGGTGGGAGGAGGAAGTGGGTGAGAATTGAATGCCGGTGCAGGCACTCGGTACAGCACAGGTCGTCTGTGGTGGATTGGACTGGACGGGACAGAACAGTGGAGGCTAGACCACTGACCGGCACAGGCAGGCACTGAGCGATAGTGGAGTTGATGGGCCGTTCGCGCCGGCTGAGGACGACAATGCGGCGACCCGAATGAGTGGGACCACGAGCACCAGAGGCAGAAAATGCGATGAAGCGAGGTTTGGCTGACAGAGGCCGTCGTTTTGTGCTCCTTTGCCCTCAACAGTTGAATTGTCGGTGAGATAGAAGCGCGGGGGCTCCCAGAGATGCCTCGGGATTTGTGAGTTTGAAGATGATTACGGCAAGCGTAGGCCGTGTCACAGGCTCGATGCTCTGCTCCCTCCGCTCCGGTTCTTTGGCGGGCGACATGCATGAGGGTGTGATGTACAGTGGTACGAATGACGCAATTGGTCAACGCCGATGGCCTACCGTGCCTATTCAGCAGACGACGGCGGCGGCTCGTGCCAGTCTCAACACGCCTCATCAGCTCAATCCCGGCTGTTCACGGAACAGATGGCACGCGCCCCCTTGCTGGCCGGAGGCATTTTTTGCATAACCGTTAGTCAGATAGCCTTGAAAGATACATATCCTCCCCAATGGCCCCGCACCACAATATCCCGATACCCTCTGTACTTTTCTTGCGCCACATCGGCCATTTGAGCCTGCTCACGTGATCCGATTCTCTCTTCCGGGTAGCTCCGTCAACTTTTGCTCGCAATTGGACCTGATCTGATTCGACGTGAGGTCCAGCAGAAACGAATTCCCGCGGCCATCCTCAGGTTTGACTTCAATCATCCGCAACCACCCTCTCCGCCCCCACATCACCACCACCGATCACAATGGCCGATCTGTTCGTCAAGCGCGTGGCCGAGGGCATCCAGAGGTCGCCTTCCCTCCTCAGCTTCCTGCGCCCCCTCGCCAACTGGTACTCCAACACGTCTGGCTACCGCCAGGGGGGCCTGAGGTAAGGCCGTCATCCATTTCCTCCTGACCGAGACTTTTCGACCCCAATCGACTCAAGCCGCCGATGCGACACTTCAATCGAACGTATTGTATAGAGGAAGACCAATTGAGCCAAGGAGGACGGATGGACATTCGACAGAGCAGACGGCTGACTGAAGTGCTCGCACAGGTACGATGATCTTTTCGAGGAGGAGCGCGAGGAGGTCGGCAAGGCTCTGAAGCGCCTGTCGCCCAAAGAGAGCTACGACCGCATCTACCGCATCCGCCGCGCTGTTCAGTGCAGCTACCAGCACAAGCTCCTGCCCAAGTCCGAATGGACCAAGCCCGAGGAGGTGAGTGCCCTTCCCTTACCCCCAAAGCTGGCGATGTCGTTGCGGACCTTGAATACGGCTTGGCAAGCCCAATCCGTTGCGCTGAATACTGGGTGAAATGCAAGGCGACAGCTGGCTGACAACCTATGGTCAGGATGTCCCTTACCTCCGCCCCCTGATCGAGCAGGTGCAGGTTGAGATGGCTGAGCAGAAGGCTCTGGACTCGCTCGAGGTCGTCAAGAAGCACTAAATAACCCGCAATTTGGTCTGCCTTTGTAAAGTAGGAGGAAACAAGAACGAGAGAGGAGGAAGCGCTTACGACAGCGTCGTTGGTTTCGCGATGCAGCATGATAGAGAGAGTGAGCCTGGCTGGAGGGTTGTGTAAGCTACCTATGTATAGACTCTGGGATTGTCTCAATCGGAACTCCCTCTCTCCCCTATGCCGCAGCTGCCGCGTCGGTGCTGGATACCCTGCGCCTTGCTACGCTTCTTTGATCATCCACGACTACCCGCACTTGATTCACGAGGAGAGCAACCAGAGCAACCACCTTGAGGAAATGGCGGAGCGCTCTGGCATAACCAGTGTGTTTGTGACCGTGCATGTCGTCAGTGAGAGATGGTTCAAACGCTGTCTTCGTCAAGTCATTACTTTACACAACAGATTCCTTCATATATACAAATGTTGACAAGGGTAAAGCCTTCGTATCTTGTCGTGTCAATGGCATTGACCCGCCTCGCATAGATCGCCCACGCCCCCCTACGCATTGCCCGGCTTTTCATCCGTATCAATATGCCACACAACGTAATTAGGCAAGCCAACAACTCTGTAGCCGGCTCTCTTTGCCATCTTGGCAAACCCTTCCGTTTCGGCTTGGTTCTCGAAAGCGTAACAAGGGAAATTGATGCCTATAGAGATTAGCTTTTCGCTTGTATAATGGCAAAGGAGGGGGACCAAAACGCACCTGACCGGTGGACGTCAGCTTTGACGATAATGTTGACGCCGCCGATGCCGTCCAGATCGATTTCCTCGTCCTTGTTCTTAGTGCGATCGCCCATCCTGGCCATGTACGTACGGCCAGTCTTATATTGACTGTAACCTATTTCGCGTAAGTCAGATGACGGATCAGCCGTAGGAGAAGTCACCGAGTAAGTACCTTCCGCAAGAACGACGTCTTTGCTAAGCTTGTTCGCCAGCATGCGGCCCTTGTTGGATTCTATCCAAGAGTTATAGTCGAAGCGACCCTCGATGTCTACCCCGTCCTCAATGCGATGGAACCAAACATCTGCAAGCCTGGTCAGACCGACACTCAGCAGCAAACACGTGCATGAGAGATGGAACCTACTTGGCACTATGATATCGACGTCATGGGCGATGAAGTCCTCGATGATAGCTGCGGGGTTCTCTACAATGTCGACGTCCCTCCAGTACACCCAGGAGTGATCTGGCTTCATCGCCACGGATAAGAGATAGTTTCTCGCCCGCCCCAGCGCCTTACGCCGAGGTCCCTGGGCTTCAAAAGAATGTCTCTCCTCCACGTTCTGGCTGAGGTGGAATTTGAAGTCCTTCTCCACGACAGTGATGCTGCGAAAGGGAACAGAGTCGGTCCGTTTTTGCAGCCTGTCGGCTTCGGCAGCCAACACTGCAAGAGTATCGTCGCTGGAATCGCCAACCAGGAAGGCAAGGTCGATCAGTTGATGGGGGTACGTCAGCCGGCTGATAAGCTCGAAGTACTTGGACAGATAGGGGGCGGCGTCCTTGAGAGGCGTCAGGATCAAGACCTTTTCCTGATTCGCGACAGCCTTGCGCGTGGAACTGACGGGGTTCATGTCGACATTCTTAATCGTCGGGGAGTCGACTTCAATGGGTTTATGAGGGTTGAACAGAACAGGTGTCTGCAGGTGTCGACCCCAGGCCGCCCGCTCATTGCTCGTCATGTCCATGGGCGCCTTTGGCGGACCCCAGCAGTAGAACCTATGATCGAGTACTCGTCAGTCAACGCCATACACGACGGCTTAGGCCGGCTTCGGAGCAGGAAACATACCTGTCATGGGGGCGTCCGGAGACGCCGCGCCAAAGCAGCAAAACGAACCCAGCCAGGACGATGTATGCAAGAGCCCGATGCCTATTCAGGTACAACAGTATTGTTCTTGAAGTAGGTATTTTCCCGCGCGCTGACTTCCAGCCATGGCTGCTGTTGTTGTTGTTGTTGGGGAGGATCATGGCGAACGATGATGCAGTGCTCGGGCTGCTGTTCCTCACGGTGTCGCTTGATGGTAGTGTCGAGGTTCTGAGAGGTTGGCACCGGCTGGAAGTGGGCACGAATATGGAGGCGATGGCGCAGTGATACAACACAATCGCAGAAAAAGCTACTATGAGGCGAGCTATCAAAGCTGTAGAGGGTGTCCGCTCAAGTCATCGGGAGAGGCGGGGTCGAGTTGCTTCGAGGCGCTCGCAGAACTTCGGTACTCGGGAACAGAGGTTCAGGGGAAACGCTCAATCGGGCAGTCGAATCAGCTTTGCAAGTTCTCAAAGCTAGGCAAATCGTGGATCGAATCTGGTCTCGATTTGTCGTACTGGCGCTATAATGTACAGCTCACCAACCTCATGAAAGTTGTGTTTGGGATGCCAATCGAAAATAATTCCCATCGCTGACGCGACTGTCCATCGCGATTCGTAGATGCGCTGGAGTCTTGAGCGGGCTAGCTCCACTACAAGGGGACACAGGGGTCCGCTAAAATGGCACTCATTTTAGCGCCTCGAAGAACCTCCCATCGACATTGAATCCTTGCATCACGGAAGCAAGTTTAAAAAACAAATGATGCATGAGATGAGTCCGCCAAGTGTGAACTATTCTCGATACCCAAAGCTAAGGGGGTATTGATCAATTCCTCGATCGGTTGAACAGATTCTTGTCCGGAAGTCCCGACGGCCTAGATGTAGATTACTGCAATCGTGGGGAGGTACATGACCCGTAGGTACCATACCGTGACTATGTAGGTCGTTCAGCACATGGGTAATAACCTCGATTCCGTACCTGCCTTCGGCCGGTGGGGACTGGTTGCTGGAGCTTGCCACATGGTTAATGATGACAAAGGAAGGGCGCAGCGACGTCACAGTTGTCACGATTGTAAGTCGTGAACCCGAAGATCGAGAAACAACGCTGAGGGAAACACTAACAGCAACGTCACAACGGTCAATTCGTCTCGAACAATTTGAATTCTACTCGCAGACCAAGATACCCCTAACTGTGAGATAGCGTTTGCTGCGCGCTTGCATTGTTGCCCATCCAAGGGACCATATCTACATTCAACTCGTTCCCAGCACGCACATCACCTCTTTCGCTACAAAATCAGATCAAACAGGCTGAGGTTGCCCAGCCGTTGAGATCTGGGGACGCTTCGGAGCCGCGAAGTTCATCCTGCGGGCCGATATCAATCCACGCCGCGTGCGTCGAGTCGCACAGCTTGCCTCTAGCACTCTGGCAAACATGTCGACTCGCCGTTCGGCTCGCCTCAGCGCCCAAACGGCCACTAAGTCGGAGGTCCTCGGACCAGTCGCAGCGCCAAACGACCGCAAGCGAAAGACCGCACAAGATACCAAACTCGACGAGGTACCGTCGCCGGCGCCAGCTGTGCCGGCGACGCCTCCGAGGAAGCGCACGCAACGAGCCGCCGTGGCGCTCCCAGTCACGCCTACGCCCAGTGCCGTCTCCCTCATTGCGGAACGTATTAATGGCACGGCCGAGAAGCCACGCACCGCAGCTGTATCGCGCTTTGCCGACCCAAACCGAACGAATGCTCCGCTGCTGTCGCCCGAATCTTCGCGGCTGGTCGCACCAGCCTTGGCGGTCCAGCCGAGCTCTGCCTCGCCGTCCAAAGCCGCTCGCCTTGCCCCGACATCCTCTCTCGTCTCCGATGTGAATTCCCAGCCAACTACTACGGAGAATATCCTTGCTGAGGCTTGCGCCCATCTGATCCGTGTTGACCCGCGCATGAAGGCTCTCATCGACAAGCACCTTGCAGGGTCTTCTCTCCAGAGGGACTAGCTGAGAAGATCGACCCCTTCGAAAGCCTCTGCAGCGGTATCATATCTCAGCAGGTCTCGGGCGCAGCTGCAAAATCTATAAAGGCCAAGTTTGTGGCTCTCTTTACCGCATCAGATCTGGTGGACGGCAGGTTTCCTCACCCTTCTCAGGTGGCGGCCCAGAGTATTGAGCACCTGCGTACGGCGGGCTTGTCACAACGCAAAGCTGAATACGTAAAGGGCATTGCGGAAAAGTTTGCGAGCGGCGAGCTCAGCGCAGAAATGCTGGCAGGAGCTCCGTATGCTGAGGTGTTGGAAAAGCTTATCGCTATCCGCGGTTTAGGGCAGTGGTCGGTCGAGATGTTCGCATGCTTTGCGCTCAAGAGGATGGATGTCTTTTCGTTGGGAGACTTAGGGGTACAGAGGGGCATGGCGGCATTCGAAGGCCGCGACGTTGCAAAGCTCAAGGCCAAGGGCGGCGGTAAATGGAAGTACATGTCGGAGAAGGACATGATTGACATGTCGGACAAATTTGCGCCCTATCGCAGCGTCTTCATGTGGTACATGTGGCGAGTCGAGGAGACTGACATAAGCACGCTAGAGTAATAACATTCACTGCTTTGTATGTAGCTACTCGTTCGTCTGGCCTAGTGCTCTGAAGCTGTAGTGTGATGCGGAAGGTCTCGACGTCAGCCTGGATCCTGAGGCGAGAGTAAGGTCCAGCAGGATTGCGTGGTCCGTAACCCATGGCCTTCATCATGAGACCAACTCGAGCATAAGTACGATACACACCAAGGTTTTGATGATGGTAGCATGACTTAACGCCGCATGAAACGGCACACTCAGATGGAGAACTACATACAGGCTCGTGCGGCCTCAAACGGACAATCATGACGTCTTGAAACCCCGACTTTGACGGCGCCGACAGTCGATCAGCTCAGGATGCTTCTTCTGACATCGCCTCCCCCCCCGCATAGTGATTATTCCGAGGGCATGAGTTGTCGTTGGGTTGACCCGGATTGGGCTGCTGTTTAGTACACAGTCAAACGGTCCTCCCGCATAACAAACATAGGCTTTGGTCATGGGACGGCCCGGTATCGTGTGGTGGAGCAAGCAAGGAATGAGGTGCAACAGGCACACAAGACTGCCATCCAACATGTACGTGTCGCTTTAGCTCCCTCCCAAGGTTTGCCAGTGATGGGACATCGTCCACTCGATTACTGGCAGGGGACAAAATTGATGATGCAGGACAACGGGCTGGCTGGAGGCTTCGAAACGGAGCCTCGGTATCAGGAGGAAGCAGTGTTATCAACAACAGCTGTACAGTAGCCGTGCCCATGCACCGGACTTGTCCCAGTGGTCTTGGAAGGTGTACGTGGTACTTGTAGGTCGGCCGAAACAGTCTAGAACAGGTTCCTGATTTGATCAATTCGGCCTACACATTGCAGCTGGCAATCCTTGGATGGAGCAGGGAACAGGTGGGTAAAATTGGGAGATGCATGTTCGGCCACACCCCGGGGTGGGCCATCACTCCTGGCTGGATACCGTACAGTACGCATCGCGGCTCTACGGATGTTTTCCTCCAGTGTTTGGCAAGTGAGCAGCTTGGCGTGGAGACACCAAGATTTAGTTTCGCATGTGTGCGGTCCATCCGTAGAAAATACTGCTGTGGCAAGCTTTCGCGACCTGGGGAGGCCCCAAAAGGCCCAATCAAATTGAGCCAACGGGATGCCGAGGGCATTCGCTCGTATCGAGAGGCCTGGTTTGGCAATGCACGACCTACAACATAGTAGGAGCTAGAGAGAGCGGAAGAACCGAAAGTCGGCTCGATGCTGCGATGCTTTCGATGGGCCCATTATGCCGTTGCCTGGTCGCCAGCCGTGCCAACAGGCTATCAACTCTTGATGTCCTCGATCGTACTGCGTCATCACTGGAGGTAGACTCGGATCGGCAGAGCACCCGAAGGCCTCCTGGATCGCCTGGGCTTGCAATGTGATGAAACACGCCCTCACTGGCTAGAAAGATATGGCGACGGGAAGATGAGAACGCGTGGGCCGACGGTGTGCTGTGTGATGCCTCAGTGGGAGGAGGGAGGGAGGGAGGGGTGGGTGCGCGCGGACGTGTGTTGTGGACGCGTTCCAGCTCCGAGCTCGTCGATTTTAATGGGGCACGATGAGTGGGCTGCTGAATCGAGCGGACTGACTTCGGATACAGCCACACCCTGCAGTGTTGACAGGCATTGTCCGCAGGCCGCTGGTGTTGACGTTGATCATCTGGAAAGCAAGATGGGCAAATCTCGCCAAAGCGCGATTGCAGAAATTGGACCACGGTCCATGGCCCTTGCCCACCGACCGGACCGGATGCCTGACAGGATCTCCGATGCTGTCGATTTCCGCCGCTGCATGCTCGCTGTCAGCAACAGTCTCTCTCATTCAACTGATGGAGGGGAGGGAGATCAAACATCTGTTGGAACACGAACACGGCAGAAGTTGACTCGTCCGAGGAATGGGGCGAAGGGATCCAATGTGTAAGATGCCAGGAACAGCGTTGCTGCCAGGACACCACTTATTACTCACATTCTCGTGCCCTGTGCTTTGTGCTTTGTGGTCGGTGCAGTATTGTGTATCCAATACGAGGGAGGCAAGGCTCGCGGAACGTGGAAACCGATTGTCTGGCATCTGGGTACGGGTGCGGCAACGGTTGTGGCAGGGGAAAAAGTAGATGCTCATGCACTGGAGGGACAAGCTTGACGAGTTATTGCGTTCCATCTCCTCCTCGTACCGCACCGGAGGCGGAGGGGCCTGCGTGTGGTGCCTGGCCTTGCCTTATGTTGCATCTGTAATAATAAAGGGAGACAAGCACCGAACCATGAACTTACCCCGTCCCCTTCGCCATCATGACCAACGTAGGAGGGCGCGAAGGACCCGAAATGATCAATGAGCAGGTGTGCCCACCAGGCAAGGTCGAACAGGACTGTGACTGCAACAAACCAGGGCGACACTATGATGACCCCCTGCACATGCTTCCTCCAACAACCCCCCTCCCCCCCCCTTACCCACCTGGGACACGCACCCCTGATCGTCTTGATTATGAGCAGCAAATCAACATTCCTGTCGGTGCCCCACCCCCCTGCTTCCCCTGCACGACCTGGTTGAAGGCGCGAGAGCAGCAGCGAGGCAACGTGCACGGCAACAAGCCACATCCACGCCAGCAGTTCGCCCCTAGCTTCTGGGGATTTGGCTTTTCTCTTCTCCGTCCGCACATCGACTTGCTACTGTTTCTCCCACTCGCTCCTCCTCCCTTTGCGACCAGCTTCACTCTTCACCAGGCCAATTTTTTCATTGCGCTTGCTTTGGTTTTCGTACACTCGTTAATAACAGGATCAGATCTAGCCTTAGCTCTCTTCCTGCTCTGCCCCCCTTTTTATCTGTCCTTCGAACGAAGACGACGTTCTATCTATATCACAAGGTACGTAAGGAGTGAAAGAAATGCACCATGACCCATCGCCCGTCAAAGATGGCTCGTCGTCCCCTTCACGACGCCCATTGAGAAATTCCTGACCGTCGCCGCCGGTCTGAACGACCCTGCCCACCCCACGCCATGTTCGTTGGCACGTACATACCGTTGCCCCTGGATTCCGAACGCCCCGTCCATGGCCTCTCCCTCGTCTGGTCCCCACGACCCAATTCCCTCAACAACCGCCCTTGGATCGCGAGGGTCGGAGCCTCCTGCTTGTCTGACCGAAAGGCTCCTACCCCCAGCGGCGTCGGCACCAAATACGAGCAGAAAAAGCACACAGGAAGGGGCAACAAATACGACCCGCACGACCAGCTGTGCTCCGCCTACTACGTGTCTCGGGGGTTCACCCATTTCATCTACCCATCTGCACATCTCATCACCTGCCATCAAGCACCAATCCAAACAGGAAACAACCCCAGCGTGGTTTTGGAACAGAGATCGATAGCCTTTACCACCCGTCTTGGTTTCTTGGCCCGCTGTCCAGTCCACTGCCTGGTTCTCTCCTCCACCAGCATTGTCAATCTCTTATTTTTGACATCATCCAGCTCCCAAGCTGTTATTACCCGTCGCGAACTTCGCACTGACTCTATTCAACATTCAGATTACTCGCCAAAAACCGGTAGCAATGTACACCACCATGAAGCTCGTCCCTGCCATCCTGGCCGTCGGTGCCTCGGTCGCCTCGGGTAAGTCTGACCACAACTCCAGCCGTCTCGCGTGGCCTTGGCTTCTGGCACTAACTCGCTGCTTCAGCCCAGTCCAGCATCTGCTCGACTGCGACCTACACGATCACCAGTGCCGCCGAGGCCACGGCCATCCCCTGCAGGACCATGGAGTCCATTGAGATCTCCTCCGACCTTACCGGTGCCGTGACCATTGACGGTCCCACCCGCCTCAAGGGCAACCTCGTTGTCAACAACGCCACCCAGCTCGTCAGCCTGGCCAGTTCTTCGCTCACCACGATTGACGGCCGCTTCGAGCTGGTTGGACTCGAGCTGCTGAACGACGTCCGATTCACTGCCCTGACGGCTGTTGAAACCATTGAGTGGGTTACGCTCCCTGCTCTTGGCACTGTCGTCTTCGGTACCGCCGGTGTCACCAGTGCCAGCAGTGTCCGTATTTCCAACACTGATCTCCGCTCGCTCGACGGACTCAACCTCGCTTCCGTTGACGAGATGTACATCAACAACAACGACCGTCTGCTGTCTTACAGCACTCAGCTCGCCAACGTCTCCAAGAAGCTCGAGATTGACTCCAACGGCCCCGCCCTCAATGTCACTCTTGCCAACCTTATCTGGGCTCAGGAGCTCATCATCAACAACGCCGCCAGCGTCCTGGTTCCTTCTCTCGAGGTCATCAACGGCTCCATGCGTTTTGACCAGAACAGCTTCACCACTTTCACTGCCCCCAACTTGACCGAGTTTAAGGAGGGTGATATTTCTTTCATCAACAACCCTGAGCTTACCAACATCTCCTTCCCTCTGCTCGAGACCCTCGGTGGATCCCTCACCATTGTCAACAACTCCCGCCTCACCGGTATTGACGGCTTCCCTGAGCTTAAGGAGATTGGTGGCGCTGTCCTTCTTGGCGGTGACTTCGAGTCGTAAGTTTGCAGCCGCAGCCACGAATTGATTTGTATGCTAACGATCATCGTAGCGTCGAGCTTCCCTCTCTTGATGACGCCCGTGGTGCTTTCGACGTTCGCAGCACTGAGAACATTGACGAGTCTTGCAAGTTCTTCGACGACATGGAGGGCCGCCAGATCCGCGGCGAGTACAACTGCAGGGGCGGCGACGAGAATGCCAACGAGGCCAACTCTACCAGCGGCGGCTCCAGCGGCAACGGTGGCTCCAGCAACAACAACAACAATGGCAGCGGCAGCGCCATGCTTGGTACCAACATGGCCGCCCTCGTCACCGTGGCCGTCATTGGCGGTCTCGCTCAGCTCATGCTGTAAAGACAACCATACTGAAAATATGGGCTCGGATGTTGTGGCGTTCTCCGTACATGCTTTCTTTCTTTCTGGTTTCTTTGCAATGACGCGATTCTCGAACCGGCACCCCTAGGTACGAGGAACCGATAGACTTAATACTGGATGATGGTTAGAGACGAAGACGCCCAACATCGCCGGCATCGGCCTGTGCTGTGAGGTTTCTGCTTGATGTAACCCTGCCACCTGACTACCCGGCATATGTTGCTTGCGACATGTAACAAATCGCCCTTTTATACAACACAAAAAGTGACTATCAAATATACGACGGGTATCATGCACGCAGTCTTCACCATTACTCCCGCTGATGCGCAGTCAACCTGGTTTCGTTTGATATGGAACAGGAATCATCCACATGACGTTTGTCTTCTTTATCTCCATTTGTAATCTTGGACGCCGCCTGACTGGACCAAGGCCCCTTCGCTCAGTGTCAACCCGGGACAAATTTCGAAGAGGCATGTGAAGTACAGGACATCCATACGAAGCGCGAGAGCGGCTATATGTAAACTCCGAGTTCAAATTGCTCTGCGTCGTAGAACGTGGCCGCCACTGTGTTTCCATTGAATACTCGACCATTGAGCTCGCTGACCGCCTGCAGGATTGTCAGATATGTTCGTTGAGCGCACTAGACAGAAAAAATCCGCGTGAACCTACACGTAGACCAGAGACTTGGTCGGTAAACTTGATGAAGACCTGCCGATTTTCGACATCGAAATACAGACGCTCCACACGGCCATACTGGTGAATGATCAGCACAATTACGTCTCGGCTCCGATTCCTAGATAGCAGCAACGGAGGCGCCAGAGGAGGGGGGTGGGGAGAGGCAGGGGCAGGCGTACCTTGTCGCCACACTCCTCGCCGATTTCTTGCCCGAGACCGCTGGAAATCTCACCCTGCAGGTCTTGCATACCCTCAAGCATGTTCCGCAGGACTATGACGTTGCTCATGGGCCCGTAGCCGGAAGAAGAGGCGGCGCCGTCGTCGCGACGCTGGCCGCCGATGATTTTGGCCTTGTTGGCAGGGTCGCGCCAGCCGCCGCCCTCGGCGTCGCTCTTCTTCTTCCGCTTCTCAACCTGGACGCGGAGCGGGTTGATGATGCCCGACTCGTCGGCGCCGAGGCCGGAGCCCTTGGTCCAGCCGTACTTGGACATTAGGCGCTGGGCGAAGCCTGCCTGGCCTGGGCGGAGGGAGCGAGGGGCTTCGGAGTCGGAAGTGCGGTTTCCCGCATGAGAATCTGCGCCCAGGCCGAGAGATAGTGGTGGTGAGTCGGGAACGTCGTCTTCGGACGGCTTGGAAGGTGAGTAGCGGACGGGAGCGCGTGAGATGGTTGCCGTCTCCTTTGGTTCGGAGGATGGAGGGGGAGGAGGTGGTGATGTTGGTGGTGGAATAAAATCTAAAGGAGGCGGCACGGGTGCTGTGTGGAGAGTCTGTCTTCGTGCATAAACGTCGTCGGCGGTCGCATCGTCGGGAAGCTGAGCCAATGTCGGTGGAGAGGGCGGAGGTGGTGCGAAGGAGTAGTTTGACGGCGGCGCAAACTGGTCTGCGCGTCTGTCAGTGAGAGTGAAAGAGTTGGACGGCTACAATGTACGCACTCGCCGCTGGACGGCTGTCTCTGACGCTGTCTTGGTCGCTGTCATCGCTGAAGCTCTTCTTCCTACGATGTCTGTACAGCACAGCCTTCCAGTCCTGGACCTCTCGTATGCGCTCGTCACTGCGCAGGTATTCGTCGACGTTGGTGGGCCTGGTAGGGTCGTAGATCTCATCCCAGTCGGTTTCCAGCTGGTGGTCGAACTTCTTCTTCTTCTTCTTGCGCCCGCCACGCTGGCGCTTCTCCAAACTGTAGCGCATCTCGTCGTCTCCTGCAGCAGCCCAGTCGGCGAGACTGGTCTTCTGCTGGGATTGCGCCCCGCCCAGTGTGGCCACGGCTGTCGGTACATCTGAAGTCGTTGGCCCGGCGGGAAGCGGCATCACTTGCGGCGCGGCCTTGGGGAAACTAGGTTTGGGTTTCACGGCTTTGGCCTGCGGGCGACGTATTGGTTGGAAGCGAAGAGCTGGGAGATGTGAGCACGTCGACGTTGACGAACGAGAGGGCGGGAGGTGAAGGACATGGATCTTTAGGTTTCTTCGCTGCTGCGTCGTCGCCGAGGTCTACCGCGCTGCCGTCTTGGTTGTACCGAACGGGCGCGCTGGATATCGTCGCCGAGGGGTCTGAAGCTGGGTCTAGGAGGTTCGCATAGAGAGACAATCCTCCCCTTGCGGGCGGTGGTGGAGGCGGCGCGGCCATTCTGCCGTAGGGGTTTTCGAATTTGGGTCAAATATTCAGCCGCGTTGCACTCGCATGTTTTCGTTCTTGCGGCGTTGTATGGGTAACTTGGGACTAGGTATCCGGGTAGGTAGGTATAGGATAGACAGAAGCGCGATGTGCCATAAGCTGCTTAATGGACTATCTGGAGAACCTTACTCAATGGCACCGACTTACCCCGGCATGTCAGCCCACCGTAGTCACAGAGGGGGGAGGGGGGGGGATCAGACGTCTTGACCCCTTGTTGCAGTTACATGAACCGATCCGGGAACAGCTAAAAGAACCCACCCGCTTGCCAGCTCCAAGCTCTATTAAGCACGCAATGGCTAGGGACTACCACTATGACCCCGGCCTCCTTGAACTTGGGCGTTGGCTTCCCAGATAACTCTCACTTGTTCATCAGCCATCGCCATCAGGACATTCCTTTTAGAAATAGAGCGTGATCTATCCTATCACCATCCTGTGACCAATTCTTCTACACAGGTACATACCTCATCACTCTATTCAACTTTGTCCGATTATCGGAGCCGAAATCGCCCGTCGAGTCCGCCTACACATTTGTCAAATCAAACATGGCGTTGACGCTTCAGACAGCCATCAAGGGCGCCGGCAGCTCTACTGCCATCATTATTCCTTCCAAGCCCAGCCCGTTGGCTGTTACATACAACGATCTCATCAAGGAGACTGCCTCGTTCCAGCAGAAGCTTGCTGCCATCGGCATCACCAAGGGGGCCCCAGTCTCCATTGCCACTGTCAACTCGTATGAGTTCATCATCTCGTTTCTCGCCGCGTCCTGGCAACGTGGAATCGCCGCTCCGTTGAACCCGGCGTACAAACAAGATGAATTCGAGTTTTACATCGAGGATGTCAAGTCTGCCATTGTTCTGGTTCCCCGCGGTGCTTATCAGAGTAACGCCCCGGCTGTGCAGGCAGCCAAGAAGTTCAACGCAGCCATTGCCGAGACGTACTGGGATGCTTCGAAGAAGGAGGTTGCTCTTGATGTGAAGGAGCTGGGACAGCTCCAGGGCAAGCCCAAGGAACAAATTCTGAAGCCCGAGCCGAGCGACGTTGCCCTCGTTCTGCACACCAGGTGATTCAATGGCCCATCTCCGTATCTTCACATACCCAAAGCTAAAGCTGACCATAATGCCAGCGGAACGACCTCCAGGCCTAAGGTAGTGCCCCTGACACACGCGAACCTGACGAGGACCATGAGTAAGTGATCTGGTCAACTTTGAATGAAACGCTGCTGATGAGAATGAAGGCAACATCCAGAAGACATATGAGCTCACTGATAAGGACCGCACCATGCTTGTCATGCCCCTCTTCCATGTTCACGGTCTGCTCTGCGGCCTCTTGGCCCCTTTCCTTTCCGGCGGATCCATGATCGTCCCGACTAAATTCTCTGCTGGCGAGTTCTGGCAGGACTTTGCTGCCCACAAGGCCAACTGGTACACAGCTGTTCCCACCATCCACCAGATCCTCCTGAAGAACCCGACGCCCAACCCCCTCCCTGCGATCCGCTTCATCCGGTCCTGCTCTTCACCTCTTTCTCCTACCGTGTTCCACAACCTTGAGAAGACGTACAAGGCCCCTGTCCTCGAGGCGTACGCCATGACAGAGGCTGCCCACCAAATGACCTCAAACCCGCTGCCCCCGGCCAAGCGCAAGCCAGGCACCGTCGGCCTCGGTCAGGGCGTCGAGATCAAGATTCTCGACGACCAGGGCAACGAGCTCGCCCAGGGCACTGAGGGCGAGATCTCCATCAAGGGCGAGAACGTCACGCACGGCTACCTCAACAACGCCAACGCCAACGCCTCTTCCTTCACATCGTCTGGTTTCTTCCGCACAGGTGACCAGGGAAAGCTGGACGAGGACGGCTACGTCATCATCACTGGCCGCATCAAGGAGCTCATCAACAAGGGCGGCGAGAAGATCAGCCCCATCGAGCTCGACAACGTCCTCACGCGCCACCCCGCTGTTTCCGAGGCTGTGAGCTTCGCCATCCCCGACGACATGTACGGCCAGGACATTGGCGTCGCTGTCG